GGATTGCGCCAGGACTGGCAGGGCAGGTGTGGCCACTTGTCAAGGGCCTGAGGGCATCACGAGGACTGGCAGAGCTGCCTCACGCCTCTGGTCCCTCCAGGGTCCACCTCCCGGGATGTTCCCACCACCACTCCGCAGTGTCTGCTAAAGCTAATAACAACAAATCAGGGCTTGCCTTTTTTTTTATACCTTTGTTATTTTTCTAATAATTTATTCTTACTGTATTTTTAAAAAGTAAAGTACATGATAAATTGGAAATTTACAAAACTGGGCCTCTTCCATAGAACGTTTGAGAAGCACTGTCCTAACCCACCCTTCTAATCACGCCCTCCCCTTCTGGAAAGCCTTAGTGACCGCCACTGGCAGAGGTTTCACATGGTGGGTGGAGACCAATTTGTGGGTTGGAGCTTAATTCAGTGTGTCATTACCAGCTCAAAAGAACAAGTAGAGCGAAACAGAAAGTATCAGAGTATATTGCATGTAGTAAATACATTTTGTTTCGGCCATATATATTTACTTATAGGTATACATATATTTCATATATTATAATGTGTATGTGTACTGGAGTGTGATGAATGTTGTCTTTCTTACTATTGTCACGGTAAAAAAAAGTTTGAATGCCACTGGTCTGCAGGTAAAGAGGGCACTGTCAGGTCTGACTTTCTGAGCCATAGAGGAGAGAGATGACTGAGGCAGGGCATGTAGTGCTTTCTGGGAAATTTGTGAAGGAGAGCTGGGTTTGGGGGAAGGCCGGGTTATGGATGAGGAGAGGGGATGACAGGAGCAAAGGCCCAGAGAGACCACACCTTTCGCATCTAGATCGTGCAGGTGCTCCAGCTCAGAGGGCCTGGGTCATGCCTCTGGGAGTTTGCAGGTGGCATGAGAATTGCAGTCCCTGTGACAGGAGCCCAGAGGAGGGAGCCCCTCAGTCTGCCAGGAAATCAAGGGAGACTTTCTGGAGGTGGCAACACTGTAGCTGACTTCTAAGGAAGAGTTGGGGTTTGCCAGAAGAACGAGTTTGAGGAAGGCTTGCCTGGCCAAGTGAGTGGTTTGTGAAAAGGCACAAACAAGTCCATCATGTCTGGGGACCCTGAGCCATTTAGTGTGGGTGCAGCATGAATTAGGGAGGGGACCCTCATGTGTTGTGCTACCAATTGAGATTTTATTTTGGGATGAGGAGCCATGGAGGCATTTTGAACAGAACGACATGAGTAGACTTACATGTCAGGACTCTGGGTACCCTGAGGAGAGGAGAGTAGCAGGGAGCAGACAGGGTGGGAGACCTCCAGGACACTATTGCAACAGTTGGGCCTGAAGTAGGGCAGTGGGGTGCAGGGGGATGGGAGAGAGAGGGGCTCAGAAGGAGGAGCCAGCAGAATGTGGCCCCCATCAGGGACTGGTTGGGGAAGCGAGGGGTGGGAGGCCAGGGTGACCCCGGTGTTGCCCCAGGGTGGTACCTTCTGCCCAGATAAAGAGCACCGGCAGCGGAGCAGGTCTGGGGGGAAGGCAATACGTTCAGTGTTGAAAGTGACACTTGGAGGTGGACTTGGCAGCAGGCAGCTGGAACACAGGAGAGGTTAGGGCAGGGATGCAGACAGGGCAGAGGGCAGAGTGAGCGGGAGAGAGCTGTTGGGCGGCCTCGGGAGGAGGAGCCCATGAAAGACCAAGGGAGGAGTCTTTGAGGCACCTGGGTCCCAGGAGCCAAAGGGGCAGAAAAGGCCTGGGAGGAAAAGCAGCAGGGCAGATGCTTCGGAGAGTCAAAAATGTCCCATGGGGAGACATCTGGGGAGCCTGGCAAGAATGCAGCAGAGGGCAGTGGGGCTGGAGCCGGGGCCTCGGGCTGTGAGTGGGGTGACATAGTGAGGCCAGCGGAAGGGGGCTGCACCTAGACCGTGTGGCACCTTTGTGTGGACTAGAAAGGGCAGCCGCCTCCTTCAGGCAGATCAGTCCCTCCCTGCTTGCTGGCCTTCAGCTCCATGTGCCCCACAGAGGGGCGTCCACATACCATTGCCTTGCGAGCGCATGGACCAGCCCTTCTAGAAACTGACTGGGAAGGAAAGGGAGAAGGAGTCATTGACCAAAGGGGATTCAGGGGAGGGCTTTTTTTTTTAAGATGTGAGAGATTGGTGCATGCTGACTCACGTGAGAGAGGGACCCAGTGAGGGAGAGGAGCGCAGGCCCGGGACAGCTGTGCCAAGGAGCCGGTGGGCACCTGGGCAGGAGGTGGCATGCCCCTGGGGCCCCGGCAGCAGGGCCAAGGCTGGTGCCCTTGCCATGGGCTGCTGGTGGGGGTGGGGGGAGCAGAGTATATGCTCAGCTTGCGGCCTGGGCCATGGTGTGCAGCCACCCTGCAGGCAGGAGTTAGCTGTGAATCTCTGCGGTGGGGCAGGGAGACGACCCAACTGGGGACACTGAGACACAGCTGAGCCTGGGGCCCAAGACTGGTGGCATGCAGATTGCCCGGGCAGCAGGCTTGGAACTGGGCAGGTCAGACTGGGGAAGATCTTGGCACAGAGCTTTTGTTTACTTATATTTTGCTTTTTACTATAGGAAAACGTTCAAACACAGCCAAGTGTTATGGCAAACTCAAATGAACCCTCTTATACCTATCATTTAGCTTCAGTGATTATTCCTATTGTTAACGCTATTTTATGAACATTCCCTCCCCTCACTTTAAATGCTTTTTAAAAAACTTAAAAACATTTTAAAAATAGATTTTATTTGTTCAGAGAAGTTTTAGATTAACAGCAAAACTGAGCAGAAAGTACAGAGATTTCCCACATACCCCTCGTTGAAAACTTTTCCATTTGGAAATAATTTTAAGCTCACAAAAACTGCAAGAACAAGTTTATTTTTAAGTAATGTTTTTCTTACTAGAGAATATATTCTCAGAATTTATATAAAGGAAAACTGAAATCATGTATGATGCTACCACCCAAAAATAACTAATGGCATTGTTTTGGTGTGTTTCCTTCCAGTCTTCTTTTTATACTTATATACATACTTTTAATTCGATCATTTCATCCAGAGACTCTCCCCATCCCCCAAAGCCTTCCTGTCTGGTTCATCTGCATGAGCAGGCTCAGTCCCAGGGCCCTTGCCCCCAATCCCTCCACAGGGAGTCTGCTGAGAGCAACAACAGTTGATCCAAGGTTGTTGCGTGTGATGCCGTCATTCCTTGGATTCAGTGCTAATGCAAGTTTCCCTTTAACCTTCCTCTCATTTTTGTTTCCTTGGGTAATGCTGGTTGATTTCTGGTGGGATGAGTTGCCCCATTCTTCCAGGGCCACCATTTTGCCCACTTCCACACTCATCTCTCCAGATTCGGGGCATTTGTGTCTGGGTCTCTTCTTTACTGGCCTGAGAACTCTGTGGGGGTAGAGCTCAGGTCTGATTCATCTCTCAACATGAGGCAGAATTGGCCTCAGGAAATATGTATGGAATTGAGTCAACGCATTTCCTTGGCATTAATCCATCCCCATCTGTGCTGTAGACTCTTGGAGTATCTTACACTAATTTATAGCCACGAGTAGGGTGTCTTGTCATACAGTAGGTGCTCAATAAATGTTTTTTACTGCAGTTACCAATAACCTGGAAGTTTCCATATGTTAGGGCTCTGCTGTTTTTCCATTTTGCCTTTTCCTACCTTCCCCTACTTCTCCTAGATGGTAAAGAAGAGCTACCACATCCACATGCTGGTGAGAATGTGTCCCCGCTTTGTCCCTCCATCTTCTATAAGTTAGGACTAAAGTTAAGTTGGCAATGAATTCAAAAGCAGCAGTTCCCTGCACTGAGGCTATTTTATATGTTTGCATTGCTCACAATACCAGTTATCATTAGCAGCAATTAAAACTATTTCAGGATCAGTTTGAAGCTGCCTTTGAGATATTTTAAGATGGACTGAAGTCCTCCAGGTGTCTAGCTCTAAGCCAAGTTTCCTGGTGTCCTTAGAAGCCCACTTGTATTTGGAGAATACCCTATATATATATTTTGACTGCTTGAACATTTCATAAATTTCAGAGATGTTTGTCAAAAGTGGGTTAATGTCTCCAGAGCTGATTGGACTGTCTTACAAGTCCCACTCAACCTCAGTGACATGGCGGGGACCATGGCAATGGGAGAGGAGGAGGGATTTCTGCACAGGGTCTTCCCTTCTAGCCAGCCCCTCTAGCCAGGCAGAACCCCTGGGCCTCTGTGACCCCGAAGAAAGGGGTGAAGGCTTGGTCTAGAGTGAGGGCACACACCAGGAATTGGGAATAAGGCAGGAACCCAATTTGGGGGGTCAGGCTGTGAGGAGAGGAGTGGGGAAGTAAGGACACCTTAAGTAATTTTCCTATTTGGCTGAAAGATAAATACAGGGAAAGAACCTGTTTCTGCACACTGGACCTCTAAGGAGTTTGTCAGCAACTTGTACTGACCAACCCTTGGTTGGCCTTGGCCTTGACCCTGGGCCCGGAGGGCCAGCAGTGGCACTGGGGCCTGGGATTGCTGTTCTCTGAACACCTCCAGGACCCTCCTGGGCCCTCTAAGTGCCTCAGTTGGAACTTGCTAACAGAATGGGCTCAGCTGGCCTGCTGAGCTCGGTGGCTTCTTGGGAGGAAGGGTTCTGAACAGGGTGGTAAAGGAGGTGAAAGGCGACCCAGAAGAGGTTCTGGAACATTGGAGAATGGGGGAGGGGCCCTATGGGCAGGACTTCTGTGTCCCTCAGTGGCTTGTTCCGTGAGGGCTGTCAGGGGGACCAGTCAAAGGAAAGCTGTCCTGCCTAAGTGCCTTTGGCTGTGACAGGGCACGGAGTTCCTGCACTGGGGCTTCCTGCCCGGGAACTGTGGGGCTGGGAGTCAGGGCCTGTAGTCTGGGCATAAGGAACCAGACGGGGACCTGGGTTTCCCCAAGTGCCTTGCTTTGGCCAGAGCCTACCTAGACTCGGGCTCCGATCTGAATCCCTAAGAGGGTTTTGTGCACAGTTCATCTCTTTGCCCTTCTATTCAGCTTGAAGACCCATGGAAGCAGAGCACTGTGGCCTCCTGCGAGCTGCACCACGCACCCTGCACACCCCCACTCCCTCCAGCCTGGGGACCAGGGCCTCCGATGGGTTGGGTTGGTAGTTATACGGGATTGGGGCAGGCAAACCACATCTTGGCCACGGTGTGAGCGCCCAGAGGTGGGATAAATGGAGGGCATCCTGTCCTTATCCCCACATGGGTCGGGGGCAGAAGACAGCATGACCCACTTTCAGAGCAGGGTGGCTGTGACTGGGGCTGCTTCAAGCGGTCAGCCTGCACACACATTTGGTCTTAAACACTTCAGAACTGGGCTGTTACACATCTGTATCCTGTTTTCATTAGCTTGTAAGCCAGGGTGATGGGAACCTGCCTAGTCTTCTGAGCCAGCAAGAGTGCTCAGAGGCTAAGAAAGAGCAGGTGTCTCCAATAAATATGATTTTAATTCTCAGTGTAAATATGTGTACAAATAAGTCTGTGAAATGAAAGATGGGAGCTGAGTTCTATATGCAAATTCCACAATTTCATAGCCATTTGGGACAGAGAACTGTAGTTGGTGTGTGTGGTGCAGGTTTCCAGGCGCAGGATGTGTGTGCAGTGTGCAGGGCAGGTGTTTGTGGACAGCATATATATGTATGGTGTGGGGCAAGGAGTGTGTGTGTCTGGGTACATGTCTGTGGTGTGTATGTGTGCGTGAAGTCCCCATCACATTGGTTGGAGACAAGACCAGCGACATAATTTACAGGGCCTGGTGCAGAATGAAGGGGTGGGGCCCCTTGTTCAAAATTATTGGGAACTTCAAGATGGCAACAGCAGAGCATCAAAGCAAGCCTGGGGCCTTTCTGAGCGCAGAGCCCTTGTGACTTCACAGATCCAAAGTCCATGAAGCCGGCCCTGGGGGGAGAAAGTGCACCTCCTGCTTGCCCTCAACTTCCTTTGCTTCCTTGAAAAGTCCTTGAGGCCCCCTCTGTTGCCTCCCCAGCCAGCTCCCAGGGTAACCTTGCCCTTGGGAGTGGGCACAGCACGGCGAGGAGCTGCAGCAGTCAGCCTGGGCACCTTTCCTGGCCCTCTTTATCTTTGGTGTGGGCTCCACCGGGGCAACTAAATCCACAAGGTGTCTCTGGGCTCAGGAAAATGATCTCCCGAAGGACATTCAGGTCTCCCAGGCCCGGCCTGCTGCGTGAAAGCTTGCCTTCCACCCTCAGGATCTGAAGGCTTCAGGCTCCTCTTTGGGCTTCTGCTTTGCTCCCAGAAGTCATCCAATAGCAGAAACAGCAAAGAGAAGGAGACGTACCATTTCGAGGTAGGTCTCCGTTGCCCACCAAGGGCTTCAATTCTCAGGGGCCCTGATGGGCCCTGTCCTAGGCTTGTGCCACTTCGCACAACTCCTGGAGGGGAGGAAACGGCAAAGGGGAACCAGGGATCTGGGGCAGCACTGGACCAGCAGAGCCTACAGCCCTGAGATCTCAGTGCGGGGGTGTGAGGGTGGGGACCTGCTAAGTCCTTCCTGTTTATTGTCCTGATTTGCCTCCTCTCAGTTACGTAGGTACAGTGTGCCGGCTTCAGAGCACACTCAGCTGCTGATGGGTAATAATGAGGGTGTTCCTGCCCCAGTACCTATACTTGTCGATAATTAAACATGATTTCCTAGGTTCTGGGAGGAGGCAATTGCACCCTGTCTGCCTCAGCTGGTCTAGCTCATCAGTGTTCCATTAGCATAGGAATTCCAAGGTCCCTGAGCTGTTCTGGGTTGTTCCAGGTAATGCGTGTCTCTCAAAGGTTAAGGCAACTTGAGAACTAACTTCACTGTATCCTGATCCTAGCCAGAGACTGTCCCAAAACTCACCCCCTTCCAGCTCTCCTGTAACGATGGGACCCCTGTGTGCATCTGTTTTGGGGCCCTGAGAGGGGACTGAACAGAGCATGAAGGGCCTCCCTGGGGAGGACCACCTGCCTCAAGCCAAAGGACCCAGAAGAATATAAAGGTGTGGGGAGTATAGGAAAAGTGGGCTAGAAAGTGGTTTGGGGCCCAAGTGGTTGGGCAGGAGTGGGAATTGCTATAGCTTGTTAATCATTGGCCATGGGCCTTCGCCTGCCCCAGAGAGAGAGAGACTGCTGGCCAAGGACCCCCAGGCATGGGTGGGATGATAAACTGGCTTTCCAGAAAACAAAAAAGTCCTGATTTAGAATTTGCCAATCTCTGTGGTGCAAATACTCCCACCAAATCTGATTTCAAGCTACCAGTCAGTTTAACAACTGGCTCACAAAATTCTTCAATACCGAGCAGTCAGTTATTGCTCACAGCAGTACAGCCATTAGAGTGCCGTCCGCTCAGATGCCATGAAAGCACAAGCCCCCAGGAACCAGCCATACACCCCCGGGAGAGGCACCCCCACCGGCCTGCGTTTGTTGGTCAGATGCCCTTATCCACGCACTGGGCAGCTTGGGGCCTGAGGCCAGCCTGTCAGCTGGTCAGGCTCGTGCTGCCCAGTCATGGAGTAGGGCAGGCCTGCCTCTCAGCTTGGCAGGACGCTCGCCGAGGTGATGGATGTGAAATGACTTTGCCAAAGTGAACACCAGACACCACCAAGTGCAAGGACCCAAGTCCCAGGAATCACCTGTTTCTAGCCCAGATCAAAGGGGGCATCTGACTTCAGTGTCCACCATGATGGCTAGAGACTCACAGTTTGGGGCACCTAATAGTCCTGATTTGCCAGCTGACATGCCAGCTTGCCTCTCATCTCCCTCGGCCACATGCCAGCTTCCTCACTCATTCCCGCTTCCAGAGGACCAGGGATGCGGGGCAATGAATACCAGAGAGCCACTGGGTCAGTTCCTGGGCTACAGAGCAAGGCTCATCCCAGGGGCTGGAGGCCATCCACAAATGTCCACCCAGAGAAGGGGCTTCCTGGTCATGTGGGCGGCAGGGCCATTCCTCTGGGTTTAGGTGTCGCACTGTGCAGTCTTCTTAGAGACCCAGCTGCCCTTGGCGCCTTCCCAGTGGCTCCACTCCCTCCTCCTCTGGGTTCCTGGCATGGTAGGAAGGCTTCACCTTAGCCAGGCAGCCGTGATGAGAGGTGTTGGCCCAGCTGCTTCCCTGCTGGCTCACTGTGTCAGGAGGGGTGTGGGCATGGCTGGGGACCCTGGGACTGTCCAGCGGCAGGGCTGCAGCCAGGGCCTCTGGGGCTCAGCTGGACACTGGGGGATGAGTGGTATGGAGCCCGGGAGAAACAGGCCCTGAGCCCGAAAAAACAGCCCAGAGCTCCAGCTGTGCCGCTGGTGCTGGTTCCTCTCCCGTCTGAATCTCTCCTGTTTGGTGACAGGCTCAGCCAGGCCTGGAGCCCAGCAGAGGGCCCCTGCTGACCCTGGATAAGTATCTAGGGGGCAGGAGCAGGCCAGGTTTCTGTGAACCTCATGCTTCGGTCATTGCAACAGCAAAACCTGTGAACGTGCCAGCCTGGGGCACTGCAGCTCACACTCACCCAGGAGTCTGCACGTGTGCCATGGGAGGCTAGGAGGGCTGCATGGAGGGGGTGACATTGGAACAGGGTCATAAAAGTGTGTCCCACAACAGCCTCAATCTTCCTGCACAGGCCCAAGCCAGGCTCTAGCCCTAGGACGCACAGATCTGCCTTCTGGGCATCAGTGGGGTGATCCTGGGCAGCCCTGTACCCCCAGCACAGCAGGTCACCCAGCCAGCCTCCTCCCTCCAAACTTCCCAGAATCTCACCACTGGCTTTGCAACACGTGGATCTTTCTCCCTCTCAGAACAGAAGGGAGTGAAATGCCCTGGCTACTCTTTGCATGAATGACCAGATGAAGGAGGAAGTCAGGGGGCACAGGGGTGAGGCTGCAATGCTGGGGAAGGGGCTCTAGACAGGTTCCTGGAAGGTGGGAGGGAACCGGAGGGAAGGAGACAACACAGGGGAGCCCAAGATGGTGCCTGCGGAGAGGGCGCGTGGGAGTGGAATCCTGGATTGGGTGTCCACTCCCCAAAGTGCAATGTTTGCACCAGCCCACTTACAGAGGCCTTGCAGAGGGCACACGGGCCAAGGCCCAGCCCCAGCCCCAAGAGTGCTCTCACTCTGACTTAGGTGTGATCAATGAGGGAAAATTACTGTGGGGATTGAATTCATGGAACATGCTTTCGTGTATGTCCCATCATTTGAAAACCATTTCTGTGCCTTCCTGATTCCAGGACCTGCCTCTCTCTCCCTCTCCGCAGACTGTTACAGGATTCCATGCTTGGTTTACAGTGTATGAGAAACACCTCCCCGATGCCTCTTCTGCGACACATCACAGGCCTGCAACGACTGTAGGCTTTTCTCTTAGCCATTCCAAGTGGTCACTTCAGGTTGAGGGCAAAGGTCTAGAAGCTGATGGGCCTCTCCCCCTCCCTTCTCCAGATGACAAACACCTGAATGTCATAAGGTCCTCTGTATCCTCGTCTGTTATTCTGGGACACAGGATGGGGAGGTACCAGCACAGGAGGCCCCCTCTGAAGCTGGCCTTTCTTCCTCTGATGTGCGCCGGCCTGTGCCAGTCCTGGGAGGATGCAGGAGGGTGAGGCACTGATCCTGCTCGTTAGGCCGGATGCTGCTAGGAGGGCGGGGCAAGTAGGGGTGGAGCTTCCAGAACAAAGGAGAATGGGCAGCCCTGGGGGCCCAGGCTAGGCATCAAAAAGGCTCTGCAGAGTGAGCAGGCCACAGCAGCAGCCCGCCTTTGTGCCCAGCAGTTGGTCAGACAACCCTCGCTCGCATCCTCCTGCGTGCTCCAGGCTGGGTGCCCAGCCACGCTGCTCAGAGAGGCCTCCTGCTTGACTGCACCGACACTCGTGTGTGGCTTTCTTTACGTGGCTTGCATTGCTGCTGCAATTCCTGACGAGAGCACAGGGATGGCTGAGAGTGGAGCCAGGAGCCCAGAGGGTCGTCGGCAGCACGCCTTCGTCCCCAAACCTTTTGATGGAGCCAATGTAGCCCCGGACCTCTGGCTGTTCCGCTTTGAGGTCATCAATGACCTCAACCACTGGGACCATGTCACCAAGCTAAGGTTCCTGAAAGAGTCCCTCAAGGGAGATGCCCTGGATGTCTACAGCGGACTCAGCCCCAGTGACCAGGGAGACTATGCGGCTGTGAAAGAGACCCTCCTGAAGGCCTTCGGGGAGTCTGGGGCCACCCCCAGCTACCTGCCCAAGGAGATTGTCTTTGCCAACAGCATGGGTAAGGGCTACTATCTAAAGGGGAAAATTGGCAAAGTGCCCGTAAGGTTCCTGGTGGATTCTGGGGCTCAGGTCTCCGTGGTCCACCCAAGCTTGTGGGAGGAGGCCACTGATGGTGACACGGACACCCTGCGGCCCTTTGAGAATGTGGTCAAAGTGGCCAATGGGGCAGAAATGAAGATCATGGGTATCTGGGATACAGTGGTGACCCTGGGCAAGCTGAAGCTGAAGGCAGAGTTCCTGGTGGCCAATGCTCCTCTGGGTTTAGGTGTCGCACTGTGCAGTCTTCTTAGAGACCCAGCTGCCCTTGGCGCCTTCCCAGTGGCTCCACTCCCTCCTCCTCTGGGTTCCTGGCATGGTAGGAAGGCTTCACCTTAGCCAGGCAGCCGTGATGAGAGGTGTTGGCCCAGCTGCTTCCCTTCTGGCTCACTGTGTCAGGAGGGGTGTGGGCATGGCTGGGGACCCTGGGACTGTCCAGCGGCAGGGCTGCAGCCAGGGCCTCTGGGGCTCAGCTGGACACTGGGGGATGAGTGGTATGGAGCCCGGGAGAAACAGGCCCTGAGCCCGAAAAAACAGCCCAGAGCTCCAGCTGTGCCGCTGGTGCTGGTTCCTCTCCCGTCTGAATCTCTCCTGTTTGGTGACAGGCTCAGCCAGGCCTGGAGCCCAGCAGAGGGCCCCTGCTGACCCTGGATAAGTATCTAGGGGGCAGGAGCAGGCCAGGTTTCTGTGAACCTCATGCTTCGGTCATTGCAACAGCAAAACCTGTGAACGTGCCAGCCTGGGGCACTGCAGTTCACACTCACCCAGGAGTCTGCACGTGTGCCATGGGAGGCTAGGAGGGCTGCATGGAGGGGGTGACATTGGAACAGGGTCATAAAAGTGTGTCCCACAACAGCCTCAATCTTCCTGCACAGGCCCAAGCCAGGCTCTAGCCCTAGGACGCACAGATCTGCCTTCTGGGCATCAGTGGGGTGATCCTGGGCAGCCCTGTACCCCCAGCACAGCAGGTCACCCAGCCAGCCTCCTCCCTCCAAACTTCCCAGAATCTCACCACTGGCTTTGCAACACGTGGATCTTTCTCCCTCTCAGAACAGAAGGGAGTGAAATGCCCTGGCTACTCTTTGCATGAATGACCAGATGAAGGAGGAAGTCAGGGGGCACAGGGGTGAGGCTGCAATGCTGGGGAAGGGGCTCTAGACAGGTTCCTGGAAGGTGGGAGGGAACCGGAGGGAAGGAGACAACACAGGGGAGCCCAAGATGGTGCCTGCGGAGAGGGCGCGTGGGAGTGGAATCCTGGATTGGGTGTCCACTCCCCAAAGTGCAATGTTTGCACCAGCCCACTTACAGAGGCCTTGCAGAGGGCACACGGGCCAAGGCCCAGCCCCAGCCCCAAGAGTGCTCTCACTCTGACTTAGGTGTGATCAATGAGGGAAAATTACTGTGGGGATTGAATTCATGGAACATGCTTTCGTGTATGTCCCATCATTTGAAAACCATTTCTGTGCCTTCCTGATTCCAGGACCTGCCTCTCTCTCCCTCTCCGCAGACTGTTACAGGATTCCATGCTTGGTTTACAGTGTATGAGAAACACCTCCCCGATGCCTCTTCTGCGACACATCACAGGCCTGCAACGACTGTAGGCTTTTCTCTTAGCCATTCCAAGTGGTCACTTCAGGTTGAGGGCAAAGGTCTAGAAGCTGATGGGCCTCTCCCCCTCCCTTCTCCAGATGACAAACACCTGAATGTCATAAGGTCCTCTGTATCCTCGTCTGTTATTCTGGGACACAGGATGGGGAGGTACCAGCACAGGAGGCCCCCTCTGAAGCTGGCCTTTCTTCCTCTGATGTGCGCCGGCCTGTGCCAGTCCTGGGAGGATGCAGGAGGGTGAGGCACTGATCCTGCTCGTTAGGCCGGATGCTGCTAGGAGGGCGGGGCAAGTAGGGGTGGAGCTTCCAGAACAAAGGAGAATGGGCAGCCCTGGGGGCCCAGGCTAGGCATCAAAAAGGCTCTGCAGAGTGAGCAGGCCACAGCAGCAGCCCGCCTTTGTGCCCAGCAGTTGGTCAGACAACCCTCGCTCGCATCCTCCTGCGTGCTCCAGGCTGGGTGCCCAGCCACGCTGCTCAGAGAGGCCTCCTGCTTGACTGCACCGACACTCGTGTGTGGCTTTCTTTACGTGGCTTGCATTGCTGCTGCAATTCCTGACGAGAGCACAGGGATGGCTGAGAGTGGAGCCAGGAGCCCAGAGGGTCGTCGGCAGCACGCCTTCGTCCCCAAACCTTTTGATGGAGCCAATGTAGCCCCGGACCTCTGGCTGTTCCGCTTTGAGGTCATCAATGACCTCAACCACTGGGACCATGTCACCAAGCTAAGGTTCCTGAAAGAGTCCCTCAAGGGAGATGCCCTGGATGTCTACAGCGGACTCAGCCCCAGTGACCAGGGAGACTATGCGGCTGTGAAAGAGACCCTCCTGAAGGCCTTCGGGGAGTCTGGGGCCACCCCCAGCTACCTGCCCAAGGAGATTGTCTTTGCCAACAGCATGGGTAAGGGCTACTATCTAAAGGGGAAAATTGGCAAAGTGCCCGTAAGGTTCCTGGTGGATTCTGGGGCTCAGGTCTCCGTGGTCCACCCAAGCTTGTGGGAGGAGGCCACTGATGGTGACACGGACACCCTGCGGCCCTTTGAGAATGTGGTCAAAGTGGCCAATGGGGCAGAAATGAAGATCATGGGTATCTGGGATACAGTGGTGACCCTGGGCAAGCTGAAGCTGAAGGCAGAGTTCCTGGTGGCCAATGCTAGTGCTGAAGAAGCCATCATCGGGACCGACATGCTCCAGGACCACAACGCGGTGCTGGACTTCGAGCATCGCACATGCACTCTGAAAGGGAAGAAGTTCCGCCTTCTGCCTGTTGGAGGAGCCCTGGAAGATGAGTTCGACCTGGAGCTCCTAGAGGAGGAGCCCTGCATGGAGGGGGGTGGCCAGCAGCTCTCCTATTGAGAAGACCCACTGCAGTGGAGGGAACAGTGCAGATCCTCAGGGGAGTCACTGGGCTTGGCCAACCTTCTAAAACTGGCTTCCTCCTCCTCCCTCTCCAGGGGCCTTATTCTGCCCCTGGTGGGGGAGGCTTCCCTTTGAGAAGGCAGAGGTGTGCAGCAGTACAGGCTGGCTTCCTTAGAGGGAGAGAGGGTCCCCGTGGTTGTCAAGCCGCTCTTGGCGGCAGACTCAAAGGCTGGAAGGCGACCGGAAGAGGCTAGAAATGATTGTCTTTGAGAGAGGACTGGGGGATTCCCTCGGCAACCTTGGGGGGCGGCTCGGTCATCTTCAGGTCCGCGCAGCTGTCTCAGCTGGGCTGGATACTGCCTACAGGGCCCTCGCCAGCAAGACCCAGCTGCCAGGGGTGAGGGTCACTGCTGCCCGGGGTTCTTCTCTGCTAGGTCTTCCCCCTGCACCATGTATGTTTCCTTCCATAATGTGTTTTGAAAAGCATTGCGCTTTGTGCCAATAATTCATTACTTCAAAAACCAATAAAGATTGACTCACAGAAAACCTCATAATTGTTGACTGGGGACAAATGGGATGGGTGTAAGAGGGAGGGAAAAACGGGGTGACTATCAAAGAGAAGGGAGACCCAAGTCTCCCCTGACTGCCAGCCTGGAGATTTTAGAGCATAGATATGTGGTGACTCTGTGTTTGGATTTTCTTAGCCTCAATTTCAGATATTTTGATGTATTTCCTCCATAATTCCTGTTATTTCTAATTAATAATTCCTCTAATCATTTCAAATGACAATATTTTAGCACCCAAATTGCCTCTTTTTTCATTTAAAAAAAAAATTGAAGTATAGTTGATCCAAATTGCCTTATACCCCAAAATTATTTGTGAGGTCTTGACTGGGTATTAGAAAACTATGGTTATTATAAACAAATGGGAAAACATCAATGTAGCAAATAGGTTCTTGCAGATGCAAGGGAGCCAGGACTTGGAGGCAGAAGGTGGGTCAGGGGCAAGCGTTGACCTGCGTAAGGCAGCCCACAGCAGCTCTGGAGGACAGAGGGGGCGCGACAGTGGGGGGCCCTGGTGGCAGAGGATAGCCTCTTCCTGGGGGGACTTGGAATGGAGCTGGAAACCTGAGAGGAGGGGTGGAGTGGGGAGGACTTTCCCACACCTGAGAATGGGGTGTCCATCGCTTTAAGAGGTCGGCCTCACATTTGCCTCCTACTTCCTGCCTCCTGGCTGGGAATCTGAAGACACCCATGGCTGAAAGGGTCTGCAAGGGGCACAAAGCTTTGCAAACTTTTGATGGGAGATGGGGAAGGCCTCTTCCCTTCATGAGGGTGGGAGGAGCCCCTCCTGGAGGTTTCTACCTGGACAACCCGAGGGAGAGACAGCCTGAGCGGAGCCAGAGGCAGATAGCCTTCTTCCCAAGAAGCCCCCGGGCACTTGGACCTGAGCATGTGAAGCTGATCTGAGCTAAGAGCGGCTGCTCCTCAGGGTTCCAGCTGGGATATTCCTGAGAACCAAGGCACCAGCTCCGCCCTTTAACCTCATAATTCCAGTCCCTGAGCAGCCAAGCACATTAACAGGAATTAGCTGCATCAGCCCCAGGCACATGGGGTGCAGCTGGGGTGGAGCAGGTGGAGTCTTTTCCCAGGAAAGTGAGGTCTGAAGAAGGGGTGGGCCCAGCGAAAGGCCTTGGCGTGGAGGTAGGAGAACTGAGAAGAAAGCAGAATGGGAGGAGATGGTCTCCTTGTGCCCCCCAGGTCTGTGTCTCTCAGATTCGGTTTTCAATCCCTAATGAATGGGGTTTCTCTCCCAGGCCAAATCCTCCCCCGAGGGGACAACCCAGGCAGCACCTCCCTGTGACCTAGCTTCCTCCAGGCCCTTCAGATCCTTGCCACACGCTGGGCTGGAGGAGGGAGGGCAGGAGCTAGCTGGGAGGTGGGCGGGGGAGAGGAGACCCTGGTGCCAGGCCGGAATACCAGGGCAGCCCCCAGCTTGTCCTCTCCCTGCTCTTCCACACCCAGCAGATGTCTGAGCCCCTTCCTGGGTATACAGGAATGGGGGGAGCTGAGTCCCAGCCGCAGAGAGCCTTCATGCTCTGTGCTGAGTAAGGAGAGCTTGTGTGGCCAGCAGGCCCTCAGCTGCCATCTGTCCTACAGGGAGGTGAGCCCTGGGTGGGCCCAGCGATGGGGGGCCAGCAGGACCTCCGCAGCCCAGGCTCCCATGTGGGGAGGGACTCAGTGGTGGTCCTTGCCTGGAGACCCAGAGTGAAACTTAGGACAAATGCTGTGTGTGTGAGGTAGTTCCAAACTCAACTGTGTGGAGGTGGACCTAGGCTGCAGGATGGTGAGTGCTGTGCTTCGGGGAGCAGAGTATCAAGCGGGGAGCCCTGGGGAGCAGCTGGGAGAAGTGGGTTGTGGGAGAAGGCTTGATGCCAGCCAAGAGTTTGTGCTTGACTTGCATGCAAGTGTTTGAACTTCAGAGAACCAGGAAACTTCGTCTGGCTTCTAAGTGTAGGATGGAGTAAGGCAACAGCACAGAATCCAGCTTTGGAAGCCATGGCCGTATTCAGACATGGGCTGAATTTAAGATGATGTGAAAGGGGAGACATGCAGGCATCAGTGTAAAGGTCTGATCCTGGCTGTGCATTAACATCACCAGAAGATCAATTAAAGATCTTCTGGTGGGCCTAATGAGCAGCCAGGTATAAGAACCCTGGTCTAAATTCCGGCTGTGTTTATCCTCTTGAGATCTCTGGACCAGCAGAAAGGCAGCCTTAGCTTCTCCTGCGAGCTCGTTAGAAATGCAGAATCTCTGTCTCCACCCAGACCTGCGCCAGAACCTGCACTGAACAAGATCTCCAGGTGATTCTCATACATACAAATGTTTGAAAAACCGTGGCCTAGGACATTTTGATACCTCTGGTTAAGGGGCAACTCATGGCCCCCACAGAGTACCGTCTTCTCAGATAATGACCACCACATGCTGAATGCCTACTAATTCCCTAGACTATACTAAATAATTGCCCCTGCTTTTATCTAGTAAACATTTATTTTTAAATGTCTATTGTGAAATAATTCCAGATTTAAAAAAAGGATGCAAAAGTCATATGAAGAATTTCCATCTCTTTCACCTAGTTTCCCCAAATATTAACATTTTACCAATTAGCTTTTATCTTCTTTTTCTCTATATGTGTGTATGAACTGTTTGGAAATTGCAAATATGGGTATTCATTTACTTCTAAATACTTTAGTGTTTATTTCCTAAAACACAAGGAATTCTTATATAACCACAATGTAATGATCAAAATCAGGAAATACTGACATAGATAAAATACTATTATCTAATCTGCAGACCTTATTACATTTTCCCAACTATCCCAATAATGACCTTTATAGCAAAAGAAAGCAACTGTTCTTTGATCCAGGACCCAGTGCAGCCACACACTGCATTTAGTTATCATATTTCTTTAGTCTCCTTTAATCTGAACAAGTCCTCAGTCTGCTTTTGTCTTTCTTGACCTTGGCATTTATGAAGAGGTCTTGTTACTTATTTTCTAGAATGTGAATCTAATGTTTGGGTGACTCTAATGTTTTCTCATGATTAGATTCAGATTATGCATTTTTTGCAGGAATACCCAGAAGTGACCCTGTGTCCTTCTCAGTGCATTGTATCAGGAGGCATGGGATGCCTGTTTGTTCCATTACTGGTGATGTTAACTTTTACCAGTTGTTCAAAGTGGTGTCTGCCAGTATCTCAATGGCTGACTAATTTTGCCTGTGTAATTAATGAGTGTCTGCTGGGTTGATACTCTGAGACCTATATAAATAGACTTTCTCCTTAGACTGTCATCCACTAGATCCTTTGATCCTTGACTACCAATGGTGATTTTCTAATTCTACCCCTCTACATTTATTAGCAGGCTGTCAACTCTAAAGAAGTTTCCCTTCCTGTTTATTTACTATTTACTTACATTATTGTAGACTCACAGACTCTTATTCTAAGTTATACTCTTTCTATTTTGACTCATTGTTTTAGATTTGGCCTTGGGAGACTCTTCAAAATGACTCCTGTCTTTAGACATATCCCCATGATAATCCGAGCCCTCCCTTATTTTCTGTCACAAGAAATCCCCAGCCCCTGGAATCAGCCATTTCTCCACGGAGCCCTGGTTCTTTCTGATGGAGTCTGTTATTCAGAAACCAGGATCTGGACATTAGGTGCTCTCATTGCTACTGGAATAGTCAGAGCTAAGAAAAAAACATACAGTAGATCTATATATGTTTCTGTATCTATCTCTATCTATCTATCTATCATCTATCATCTATCTATCTAAATATGAGTTTATACTGATACCTCCAATTCCAACAAGCACCAGACAGTTTATTGTAACCTTTCTACTTTGTATATTTATAACTTCTTTCTCTAGCAATGAGAAGCCTGGTTCTGGGTTACTTATTCGCTCAATCTTAGAATACCCAGAAAATAGTTTCAGAATTGCTAATCCGATGCCTATGAAAAACAAACTTGAAGCAACCAGCTATTAATCACCTGCACAAGGTCGGGGTGGACCTTGGTGGCAAATGAAAAAGATGAATTATGAAACCAGACTGCAGTCATCTTAAGGTGAGCTAAGTCTCCCAGGTATGCAAGACTTTAGGTGCCAGACTTAAGGTATTACTTTATCTTGGGGATGCAACGTGTCCATCACGAGGGCAGCTAGAGTCAGAGACTGAAGGCCGCAAGTCCTCCGCTTGTGGCAGTGCTGAGGGAGTGGCCTGCCTCAGGCCCCAGAGAGGTGCTCTGGCCTACCCACCTGGTCCTTGGCTGCTGAGGAGATGCAGAGGCAGTGGTTGGGGCTGATGCCAGCACACATTCCAGTTCCATCAGTTGCTATCCTATCCAAAGTCCACTGTCGCCAGGCAACCCCAGCTAGTGAATGCAGCTCCCTGGTTGGGCTGCAAGGACAGCGAACTCTGGTCAGGCCACTCTGACCTTCCACTCCACCCAGCTGTGCTGTTCCTTATTGTGGGCCCATAAACTGGTTCTCAAGTTCTGCCTACTCAGATATTCTTGGCCAGCCTCCCCCAAGTCTGACTGGGGTGAATTCTCCAAGGCACATGTTGCCTCAGGGACTCACCTGGGGCCAGCCTTGCCCTGCCTCTCTGAGCCCCTATTAGTGTTTTCCTGCCTTGGGAAGTGTGTGAAGCGAGCCCTGCCCTCTGGGAATTTACTGGCTGAAGAGGGAGGCAGTCAGCCGTGGGAACCCCCAGGTTCCTACCAACTCCTATCTTCACGGGGACACAGGGAAGGTCATGTGATAGGGGTGGGGGTCAGGAAGGGCCCCATAGAGGAGATCTTTAAGTCCTGAAAGACAAGTGACTATCTCCCAAGAAGATGCAGAGGGGAGGGAGCAAGGACCAGAGGGGCTGGTGCCACTAATGTGGTGACGAGGAGACGGGGAGGCAGAGGGTCAGGTGTGGACGGTCCTGTGTGACCTTTGAGGAAACCAGAAAGCCAGGGATAGCTGATGCTGGATTTCTTCA